GTATCTTTGTCAAGATTCTTAATAAACAGTATACTTAGCTTGAAATAGTGGAAGGTTTCAGAACATACTAGAACTTTTGCTTGTGTGTAATCCCTTAGAATAGCTCTTCATAGTAGCTTATTTAGGCCTAATGTAAACACATAGCCTCGTTTTCGTTTTATTGACGTAATTGTATCTCGGGAACCTTCATGAACTTTCTGAGGGTATCCCAAATTAGCTATGACGCAATTAATATTTTTTGGAAGCCTTGTAATAAAATGGTACGCAATAATGACAGCGGTTGCTAGAAAATTCTTAGACTTAGGTAAAAAAGTAGTATAGATTGTTGAAGGAGTAGTAGTTGTGTTGAGCGTGAACGTGATAAACATTAAAGATCTCTGTGAACAGATTCGTGATTTATTGTCGCGGCTAAATATACGATTCCCGACATCTTATTGGTCTATAAATACTGCTAAAAGTTTCTAATGAGATTAGTAAAGTGTTAATAATTTGCCCACACTTTAAAAAAGAAGTCAAAATTTAGCCCCGTTCAGCATGGCTTTGATCGAGTGGCAAATCACTCTTGAAACTGGTGTACGAGATTAATAATCACTAGTGATTGATTTGTGATTAAATCACCTTTGTGTGTGATTAATTTGATTTTCAGCGATAAATGTGATTAATTTTTTTATCAATTTTTGATTTTATAGAAACTGAATCATAGATTCAAAAGTGCTCTCAAATAATTTCATTGTGAATAAATGTTGTCAACGATCTTGCAACATACTATATGAAATTTAAAAATTAGCAGTTCAGCACAGGGTTGGATCCAGAAAAAATATGACCGTTGCAGATTTGCAAACGACAAAGGTGCAAAAGTTTAATAACATTAACAACTAAAAACAGAGCTATTTTTCTGAGCAGCAGCATAAGCAATATTTTAAATCAATATTATAAGCTTTCTAGATCATGGGTGCAGGGTGACAGTAGCCTGAAATGAAAAACGGTGAAAAGTTCTTGATCACTGTGAATGAGACATTAAGACAAATGCATGTGCTCTTTTCTTTTTGCCCGTCAACTTTCGTCATAAAAAATTGAATATGCATCAAAAAAGCTATCTTTCCTGAACAATAGAATTAGCAACATGCATGCAAACAGCCCAGAATGAAAAAACAGTGAACAGTTTTTGAGCACCTTGTGAAAGACATTAAGACAAATGTGCTCTGTTCTCAGTAATGGAAACAGAAAGGTAGTTAGAGAACTACAACACTTCTTGGAATAAAAGACATTAAAATGCAAGCTATGGGAAAAGGTGTTGAAAAGAAGACGAATTTTCATGAAGATGTTTTTAACCAACTTGGACAATTGTTACCAATAGGCTCTTTGCAGCTAGGCGTCACGTGCTTGGTTACCGCATAGAAACGCCATACTGGAGAGCATGAGATCCAGCGGCCTATACGTAAACAATACGATCACACGTTTTCTTCGTGAATATTCTGAGTTTATTCGTAGTTTTTGAAGATGTACCAGCATATTATATCCATTTTAAAATATAACATAGTCTTTTTAGGCTTTTGACTGGCTTTTTGGCGTTTTCCCGTTGGATTTTTTTCGTCACTGAGTAATAGGTGAATCACCACAAGCTTCGATAGAAGGTTCTGGAACAAACGGTAGGCCGATATTTATGTATTTTACTTTCTTCCGTTTCTCTAGCCTCAATGTAATGTCTTGGCTAATTTATTAAACTATTTTTCATTTACAAAAAAAATTTCATTTTAGTACATAGATGATCAGCAAAAGCCCAAGTACATTGACATATGGCTTAAAGAAAATACCAGAAAGGTAACAACCATTTCTGTGACGCTTATTGCGTCGTCTGGTGCTTCCAGATAGTTCCAGGAAAGATGTGGCAGAACTCGATGAACTGCCGACAGGAATTAGGGAAGCTACGGCTGCAATGAAATTTTCATTACCAAGGTGCACGTACTTATGCAAAGAAGCAAAGAGAAGACTTTTAGCTCAACACTGGAATGAAATTAGCTTTCAAATAATTTTAACTAGTTAAATAATTATGTTTCAATACCTGTAAAAAGCTTGCAGTGACCAGGTGTAGAGTCGCTCTCTAAATAAACTGCTTTATCGTCACTGCTGTCGCACTACACAAGTGCATTATGATGATTATTATGAATAGTCATGAATAGTGATTATTAGTGTCAAGAATAGTCAAATAATGTCAAGAAGTATCAAACATATTTAGATCAACATAGTTTTGGATCATTTGCAGTAAATTCCAACTCACTTAGTTATCAGCACAAAGGTTTTAGCAGAACTTGGGAAAATCCACTGATGGGGTCACAAAACGAGCAGATGCCCCAAACCCAATTATATGATACATCAATTGAAAGCTCTTGAAATGCGCATTCACATAAAACACAGATTTGCTAAATAGGCCCTGCCTTTAACGTATCCGGATAAAAGTAGGCAAGGATTCTAATATTTGTTTTGAGTAACTTGTCCGGATGATAATCTTAGAAATTTTAAAATGACAAAAACTCAAAGATGACTGCAAGGAGATGAGCAAATTTCCCTTTTTGGTTGGTAAAATGAAGCAAAAAGCTCTCTTTTCCAATATATTTGAAATAATACCATTATTTATGTTTGTAATATTCATCCTTAAGCTTTATACAAGTCTAAAGTCTAAAGCACCATCACCATCTTTTCTAGCCATTTAGCTCAAAAGTGATTTTGGCTTAGAATCATAGCCACAGCAAAGAACAAGATATTTCAGCCTAGCTTAATAAACAGCCTGCAGCGTATGGTGCAAGACCTTGAAAACATAGTTATTGGAAATCTCTTCTTTTTCGAAACACATTCAAGTTTGGGGCTTGAAAGGAGGACTCGCATGAGGTGAAGAATCTCTCAATAGACCATGCTATCAAGTACAAAATTCTATAGACTGAAAGTCATCATCACGTCTCTCTTGAGAATTTCTGAAATGGTGAATGTTCAGATTAAGTACCAATAGTCGATTCTGGGTCCTGGAAGACTTTTTGGTATTTACACTTCAGAGAAATACGATTCTCCGTGTTTGGGAAAAGACTATTCAGGGGGGGGGGCGTCTTGGGGGTCCAGACCCCTGCCCTTTTTCTCTAAAGGGAAAAAGTGCCCTTTTACTTGGAAAATTGCTTGAATATTTTGGTTATTACGTTAAAATGGTTGGTCATACAACACTCCGGAGATGTAATGGACCTCGCAGGAAAACAGATATATTATTTAGTCAAACTTCCACGCACTTGTTGGGTCGAGCGTCATCATGTTGCAGTAATAGAGTCTATCTTCAAGCTCCAACTCTACAGCGTGTTTTATGATGCGCTACGCACTGGCTTTGAAAAAGGATGGTTCTGGGACTCAAAAACCGAAATAAAGGCACAAGACTTTGAACGGAATAGGGCCTCTACGACCTCTAGAAACCAAGACATTTTTCAAGCCTGTCACATAGTTTACAGGATCATAGAGGTAGAGGACCTTTGCATGAAACGAGCGAATGCAGAGAAAAATTTTCGGACTGGTATTAGCAAGCAGTAAAGATGGCACAAAAATTTGATGTTTGGCTGTTCAGTTCCTTGTCAGTATTACAAATCAGCTGAAGGCAAAACTTGGAGACAGAAACCAACTGAAGTCAGGGCTCTTGGAACTGTTCAACCTTCTCCCATCTGTGGTGCGAAGCAAAGAATTCAATAATAATATTTTAAAGAGCAAAATGTCTTCGGATATGGAAGATGATGGGCTGCTTTTCAAAAGTGAGCTGGCGCTGGGAAAAGGAGATGACAGCAGGGTCGCCGAGAGAGGGACAAATGGGGCAAATTGCCCTCGGGCCTCGAGGTCTAGGGAGCCTCATAAAGCAATGAATTCCGTTTTGGAATGGAATTTATTAAAAGTAATAAAATTACACTTAAAAAGTAAAACATGTTAAACGAATTAGTGAATTTGAGCTATTTGCAAGGGTGTGGTGGCAAAATATTTGCTCGCTTTGCTCGCAAGAGGCATTGTTTTTTCCGTTTCCCCCTCCCTCGGGCCTCCTAAACTTCTCGGCAGCACTTGATGGCAGACAGAAAGAAGTCATGTGCATAGTTAACATTAAAAGGAAAAAATAAATCACACCTCACCACAAAATAAACCGTACACCACAACTTTTCTCTATTGATCAGTTTCCCTTGTCTGGCGTACAATATTTACAGATTTACTAACTGCTCATATTTTCGCCGCACCTAAACAAATGCCCCTGTGGACCTTTAATGAAATTTAATTAGTGCCCTTTTTGTGTCTTGGACCCCTGCCCTCTGAAATTTCTGGTTGCGCGCCTGCTATTTTAGATAATGCAAGTAAGGAGCTGAAACTGCCTGCTTTTTAACGTTTTCTTCAACACGCAAAGAAACCCTGCATATGGAGCCCTTGTGTTGTTAGGTCTTTTGCCAGTTACAACGACTGTCTAAGCAATAGAAATGTTTTAACCTTTGACAGTTGTAATAAAGCTATGCTTACCAGTGGCGGATCCAGCCAAAAATCTGACTACCGCCGAAATGAGATAGAGGGTCGACCACACCGTTTAGACCACACCCATTTCCTGGTCACACCCGGTTTTCTAAAATGATTATTGCTTTCTATAATTTCTTATGTAGACCATTTCAAGAGACAAGCGGTGCTTTACTAAAATTTCATGTATCCTTACAACAAGCTTGAGAAGAAATAAATAATCTTATTCAATATTCTGAGGATGGATATTTTAAAAAAATTTACGGCATTTAGCCGAGAAACAGCATAGAATTAGAAAAAAGATTTATTTTGCAGATT